CTCGTTAAAGGGTCAAGTCCACATCATTGTGGGAAGCGCCACCATGTACCGATGCCTGTTATAGCATAGAGGAATTTGATGTGTTTTTTCAGCCTACGTTAAATTATTGCGAAGGTGAGTTCTTAGAATGTAGAATATTCGGTTGCAACCTCCTCGATAATTCCAGAACTTCTGGAAAATTCGAAGATGATTGGAGAGTTGAAGAGATACAAATTCGAACTTGCTTACTCTGAAACTCTTGATTTTTGCGCTCCTGGTATATTTGAGGTGTTATAAGGTTCTTATCTTTTTGGGTAAACAGATCTATCTGTATATTGCAGATACTTAACATAAAGAATATTGTACTTCTATCGGCATCAGGAGCAGTGCCGCGCATGTATGAAGTGGCTGGACTAAGCGACATTCCCAGTTTTATTCCAGGTAGAAATATATACAGAAAATAACGATTCTAAGAATTTATCATATTTCTTTTCAGGTTTTGTAACCCCATTTTCGGATGATATGACTTTTATGGAAAGATTAACGAATTTCAAATTAAACATCCAATTTAAGCATCTGAACAACAAATGGGACACGAGATTCGAGAAATTGTTCAACTCGAAGTTCCCTGCGTTTCCTACATTGCAAGAAATCTATTTTGTATGCTTAGAAAAAGAAAATTTCAAAATTACATTTAATGCTTTAGAAGAAGACAGCGTTGATTATGATTAATGTCCACGAATTTGCCGAAACTCCTCGTCCTAGATCGAACATGATTAGATACATTGGGGGATCAGCTTTGGCTCAACCAAAACCTTTGGAAAAAGTAGATTTCGTTGTGAAGTCTTGCTAATACAAACTTCTTAAGAGAAGATAGTCTAGGAATTGGATAATTTGCTGAATAAACGGAATAAAACCGTCTTATTCTCAATGGGATCTGTAGCGCGATCAATGGATATGCCAGTGTGGATGAAGAATGGTCAGTTTTGAAACATGACAAATTATGTAAATATCTATGCCTCTTTTAGATATCATAGAGACATTCGACTCATTTCCTGAGGTAACATTTATTTGGAAGTACGAAGGTGACGATATCGGTTTCAAATCTCATCCAAATATCTACCCACTAAAATGGATCCCACAAATTGATCTTTTAGGTAAAGAAATATCTCTAAGTAACTTCTTTTTTTGCTTTACTTATGTATTTATGAGATGAGATTTCAGCAGACAAACGACTTTCTCTTTTTGTCACACATGGTGGGATGAATTCACTTTTGGAAGCGGTGAGTGTTTTGATCAGAACTGAATTAAGAGTTAATTTTGCTAAGTTTTGCTACATTGGTAGATGTTTCATGGAAAACCGGTAATTGTGGTGCCATTATTTGGTGATCAGCAATATAACTCAAAGATTATCCAAAAAAGAGGTATTGGAATTATTGTCGAGAAAAACAAGCTCAATAAGGAAACGTTAACGGAAGCGATACAGAGAATGCTAGATAATAAGTAAGTTTTTGAACATCTCAAAACACCCAGTGTACAAGCCCTTTTGTAGAAAAATCACACGAGAAGCAGCTTTTGTTGCAACGATGCTTAAAGGACGACCTCAGCAGTATCGTGAAGATATCGCCAAATGGGCGAAGTTTATCATTGAACACGGCAGAATGGATCACTTGATTTTGCATTCACGGAACATGAGCTTCATACAGTACTACTGCTTAGACGTCTTAGCTTTGCTCGCCACAGTA